TGCTGATGGCCTGTAAGGGGCGGCTCTGTGCCGGCCATGGGAGCACTGGATCGGGGCTGCGGCAACCACACGCTGCAGCTCCGATCCTCCTTTTTGCCACTCCAAAAAGAGCGGGCAAATGCCGATCCTTTTTGGGGTGGCAAAAAACCACGCTTAGAGCCACGGCGGCGACTCTTTTGCATTCCTTTGGCACAGCGTGTGTGCACATTGCACTAATGGGCCACCCTGACACCGCACGCGATGTGGTCAGGTGTAATATTAAAGCCTCAGATTAAGCATTAATACAGTTGTGGAAGTGTGATAGGATGTGATAGGATCCAGAAAGATAGAAATTGTGACTTGAGGCTTTTACTTCACTCTGTATTGAATCTTAAGTAGTGGATTGATATCTATGAAAGCTCATGCTAAAATAAAAAAATTAATTAGTGTTAAAGGTGCTGCTAGATTTCTTTCTTCCCCATCCTTTTCTCCTTTTGATGCTTCAACAGGTTAACCTAGGCTGCATCCACATTGCAGAAGTGATATCAAACTGGATTATTTCTGCAGTATAGATAGAACTATAGATACTTCTTTGGAAACTACATTTAAATTAGTTTATTCCAGCCTTCCATCAACCTGATATCCTCCAGATGGTATCATGACAACTCCCATCATTCCTATCCATCATAGCCAAGAAGAGTGGTAATGGTAGGCATCTGGAGGGCAACCATTTGTGGAAGGCAACTCGAAGTGCATGTCAAGGCTTCAATTCAGTCCACTAAAGGGTACAGATTATCCTTACCCTGAGGTATTTGTTACACTAAGTTCCTATCCACTCTAGTTATGTTCTCCTCCCACAAGTCGAAAAGTTAGAAAGGTACATGTTTTGCATCATTTATCAGGGAAAAGGTAACATACTGTCCCTGCTCCCAGCTGTTGGCTAGCCCCTCAGTAATTTATCTGCAGCAGAATTCATTCTTTTTAATGCTAAAATTGCACCTTTGCAGACATTAATGTGGACAACTCCTAATTGAGTGTTCCTGAAAGTTAAAACCAAGCACTTTCCAGTCCTGGCACATCAAGGTCTCAGCTCAACTTTTCCATCTCTTATTTTA